GCATTGCACTTAAACTCTGGGATTAACTAAATTGTCTGACCTTAAAAATCACCCAAGGCACATCTTAGAAGCATGGGTTGATAGGCCCTTCTCTCCTCAGGGCTAATAGTAATTCAAAGTTAGAAAATATTAATGTAAAAATAAGATCACATCCTTAGCAACATTCTAAGAGATTCTTCCTCCTAGGCCAGTTTGGGAAATTCTCTTTCTTTCTATAATGTGATTTATATCCAGGAATTGTATAGAATGTTGTCTATTTCTCCACCAGACTTCTCCAAGCCAGACCATGCTTGCCAGTTGACTGTCATTCAGCAACTATGTGTGCGACAAATGAGTGACTGATTCAAAAATGAAGAAAATGAAAGAATTTTCTGAGTCATCAGAAATGAGTTTCTAATAATAGCTGTGGTTCAAACCCTGAAGAAAAAACGTACTTGCTATCTTCCCTCCATTGCTGTGTGCTGGTCACCAGAGAGTTGCTTTGCATATTTAATCTCAAGTAATAACAGTTCTCAAGGCAAATATTATCATTCCTAAGTCACCGGTAAGATAAACTGAATCTCAGGGGACTTGGCCTCACAGTGTTGCCTTTGCATCTTGTCTGTCACCTGATTGCTCCCAACTTCTTAAGAGTCTCTGTCTATGTCTTCCATGCCTGTTTCTTACACTGCTGTTGTGATGATCAGGGCTAAGACAGTGGTAACAGTTGTTACTCAGAAACTCTCTGGCATCGCAAATATAGCTAGTAAGGCACAGATTCGGGATTTGAAACATGTGTTCTACAGAGGGTGCCCTGTACGCTTTGAGAACTTGCTGAGCAAGCACAACTGTACAAATAAGAGAGGGGAACAGCAACCATACAAATTGAGTCCTCATGGTTACTTAATGATAGATACTCACTGTAGAAAACTTTTAGCCTTATGTTTGTCCTTCATCATCCCATGGGGTAATGAAGGCTATGAGGGAGAGGGCATCAAATGAACCATCTCAGCTTCCAATGTTCTGTGTAGTTCTCTGTATCTCTTGATCATCCATACATAGAGGATCCTATCTCTGATCAGTGGAGATGTGTGATCAGGTCATGACCTGGTCATAGCATCTTCTAAGAGTGACTTTCCATAGGACTACACATAGTTATCAAGGAACTGTAACACAGCTTGTCTTTATGAACTCCTGGAAAGTTGGTGATTTGCCTGTCTCTGTTTCTTTAACCAGGGCATGCTCAGGTCATGGAATGATTAACATTGACTTTAGCCTGTTCTTATAAAGCAAAGATAATGTAGCCATTGTCACTACCTAATAATTTGAGATAGACTTGAAAAAAGGTGAGCCAGGAAGTTGGGCAAAAATAAGTAAGGGACCTGACACAATCACAGAGGGCAAGACAATTAGAAGAAAGATGCCTGTCTGAATGAGCAGGGAGCATTGTCAACAGGAGGAGGTGTTGAAAGTATATGAAACATCATTTCATTTCATCTTTGTAACAATGCCATGAGTAGAGTAAATTTCATTTAAAGATGAGAACATTAAAGAAGAGAAAGGTGAGGTAACTGTCGAGAACGGCCAAACTAATAAAGTCATAAAGGACTGGACCAGAGGTTAACTAAGTCTGCCTTTCTTTTTCACCACCTTCAAGCAAGAAAAATTAGGTTGAAATTTGTATTCAGCTCCTCAAGGATGGAAAAAGAAAGGAGGATTGAAGATTGGTCAGTCCCCAGGGAAACAGTAGAGAGGAGAGAAAATCAGGAGTCCCAGGTTCTGGCCAAATTATCTGAGAAACAAGCTGTGGATCCTGAAATGTGTCCTGTTGCACCTTGTTCTTCCCCTGTCCAGGATTAGGGGTTGTGTAGAAACTCTTTAGTGGTGAGTTCATGTGCTTGCTCCCTTGCCCCAGATTGCAACTCTGTCTTCTCCTGCCTGTTTAGTCCAAGTGCTCAGGAGAATCCAAGGCCTGAAAGAACTGTTGTTTCTTTGTTCTGCTGCTTTATTTCAAATGAAGACTCAAAATTCCACTGAAACTGTTTTTAAAATCCCTGACAGTCTCAACTGAACAGCAAGCACTCTGGTTTTCCTTGTTCTTCCTTGCAATCAGAGAACAGGCAAAGGCAATATTCTTTACGACTGGATGTGTCTGTGTTAATGCACTTTAAATACACAGAAGAAGGATGGGAATTGCAATTACACATGGCCTTCTTCATACAATTCTGACGATACCAGTGAGAAAGGTACCCAGTGAGAAAGGTCCTTTGTATCCATGGAGTTCAGGCAAGTTTTCCAACTGTGTGGCATCAGGGGCCAGAGAAGATGGAAGTAGGCTTCTCTAGAGCTACAAATTCTACCTGAAGGTATCAGTGTATTTCATTCTGGAGTTCCTGGCACTGGAGCACCTGAGAAGAGAACTTGGGGAAAAAACAGACCTAAGCCCAACTAGAGCACACTGAGGTGAAGCAAGAGGCTTGGGATTCAGATGTGGTGGTGGCTCTACCATCAGCAAACAGAAAGGTGGGTGATGACACTAGGTAACAATGGCATAGAGGGAAGGGGAAGGCAACAGAAGCATCATGTGTGCTTTGCTGAGTCCCCATAACCTCTCCTCAGACCATCCTGAAAGGTCCATCACAAGGGGATGCTCTCTTATAAGGGACTTATTAGACACTGTGAAGAAGATTTAGAGCTGGATAAAAGGCTCAGTGTTACAAGCACTTGCTACTTTGGCAGAGGACCTGGGTTTGGTTCCCAGAACCTACACGGTGCCTCACAAACTCACTCCCATTCCAACTGATCTAACACACTCTTCTGACCTCTGTGGCTATCAGGCACACATATGGTACGCACACATGGTGCATGCACACACACACACAAACACACACACACACACACACGCTGGCAAAACACTCATATGCATAAGGTAAATAAGACTGAAAAAGAATTTAAAGAAGTCTTCAAACTCTCTTTAGAGAAAATGCCTTTCCTTCTTTCCTACCTTCCTTCCTTCTTTCCTTCCTTCATTTATTCACTCATTCATGCTTCAATTCTACAACTTCCAATTATCAAGCAGATAAGATACACCAGGTAGCATGTTTTCATGAATGAGAGCCAGTGGCTATTGGGACAGAGTAGAAGGATGATCTTGACTTAAGTTCACAAGAGGTGATCTAGCTGTGCAGTTAGCAAGTGCTCCAAAAACATGTAGGTGTGTGTTTGTAAAGAGAAGGAAAGAGTGGTGTGGGACGAAGAAGAGGTGCCATCTACACACGAGTTTTAAGGCAATTTAGAAGGCCACACCCTTTAACAGATTGTGTTTGGAATGTGGTTCTGAATCAGTGACATCAGTCTCATGTTATGTTGCTCAGAAAAAAATTGCTGGTGCCAGGGCTAAGGGAATGCTTCTTCATATGCCCTCAGAACGCATGGGCCTCTTGACAGGGAGAATCCCCAGAAAATAATCATCTTGAAAGAAACATACTCTGTGGCATGTGTTCAAATGTGTCTCACCATAGCCATGCCACTGTGCTATCTTAGAACCTCCTCCAGAGTAAAATCTACTGAATTGAAAAATAGTCTTTTAGGAGCTGGAGAGATGACTCAATGATTAAGAACACTTGCTGTTGCTCTTCTTGCGGAAGACCTGGGTTCAGTTTCCAGCTCCCATGTGGTTACTCATAACTATCCCTAACTCAAGTCATGAGATCTTCCACCTTCTTCTGACCTCCACAGCCCTGGTATACATTTCATAAACATACATGCTTGCAAGCAAAACACTCATACAGATTAAATAAATAAATCTGAAACTGTCGTTTTAGCTTCATGCTCAGACTCTGTCTGGAGGCTTCAAGGACTAGAGTATTTTCCTGCCTTCTTTGAACCAGTATCCCTGAGGGCTCTCAAGGGCCAGTTCTGTGGCTGTTTAAACTAATGTTCCCATGTGATATGTTCTTCTTCATGTAACAAATATTAACAGAGTGTCATTTCCGTCAGTCATTTCTGTCCCAGGAGCTCCCTGCAGAGGAAGTCACTTTCCATGGTAGACGTGGAACCCCTCTGAGGGAGACACCGCACCAGTTTCAACCACTGTGGTTGCTGGCTTAATAAAGTCTCTGGTCCACACTTCCCAGACTGAGCTATCTGAGTATCTTATTTCTCCCTCCTCTAATTCGTGGCCCTGCTACCTCCTGCAGATCTAGAAAAACGTCTATGGTTTATCCTCAAAGCCTTGAAAATATCTAGCAGCCTTATTCTTACTTCACAGGTTCATCTTGGTAACAGCTGAGGGCTCATCACAAGGCAGGACTCTTTCTGGTTCCTCACAGAGCCATTCAAACCTCTACTGTGGGCCCTAACATGAAGGTGGTTACAAAAGGCTTCCAGGTTTACAGCCACAGCCAGCTGTTCGAGTGGAGTGAGGAGAAAGGCTTCCCTGGAAAACTGATCAGCTTTAGCAGTAAAAAGTTTCAGAAACAGGCTGTGGGGAGAGGCGGGGAGGTGTGGTGAGGAAGCAAAGCAGGTTTTCCCAGATTAGGGACCGGCCAGAAAGGGGTGGGGTTGGGGGGTGAAAAGCAAATAACTTTTAATGAGTACATTTCCATGGAGGTAGGAGAAGGTCTAAGAAATATTCATAAAGTTTTGAACCATCCACACAGTTTGCAGAGTCTATAATCCATTACTTCTGTATTTCCAGCACCCACTCTTCGCTAAGAGACAGCAAACGCCCATCCTCCTCTTTCCTCCTCCATTTACTGTTGACATGCACACACTATTCTGCCGGTCTTAAGGAAGACAGCAGGTGCCAGGACCACCTCCGACCTCCTCCAGGCCAGCTCATTAACCCTCTCCCAACACAAACATGACACCTGGGCCTGAGGAGGAGGGTGACAGGGAACCCAGGTGACATCATTGTCAGACTGTCAGTGTCATCATATCAGCTGGGTGGTTTCCATCACAGAAGCTGAGTCAGAGGGTGAACTAGGGGAGGAGGGTGAGTCATGGGTGACTGGTAAGAAATGAAAACAGAGCAGCTATTTCCTCGAGATGCCCCTTCTTATAAAAACCCAGCTGGCCGTTGCCTTCACACAGGATCCACACTACCAGAGAGCCTGCTCTTCTCTGCACATAAGGTAAGTCTCTGCTTGCAATGGATTTGAAATTCTTGCCTGTTTTTCACTATGGGAACTGCACAAAGATAATATCTGTGACAGAGTTGATGTGGGGTGCTACCTAGAACTAGAGAACACTAGTATTGCTTGCTTAAACTATAGCACAGTTTGGGTCTGAAGAGCAATGGTTCAGTAGGCCACCTTGGCAGACAGCCATGGAATCAGAGACCAGGGCAGGGGAAGGAAGAACCCACTCAGATGTTCAACTAAGATCATGGTAGGACACAGCCTGAGGTTTAGGCCCCGAGAGTTTTCAGAGCTACTTACAGTTCTCACTGGTGTGAACCTTAGTATAGAAATTTAATTCATTAAGGGGGCATGCCAAGCATTTCTTCAGGTCAGTTTGGAGCTTACCAAACTTCTAGTCTGGCAGAGAAGGTGACACACATGAAATTGAGATGCCATGTTTAGACAATGCTAGTGCAATAAGTCATGGTGGGAAGGGGTGAACAGGAGGATGTGTGGCTCAACAGCAGCCCCTAGTGGTAGCATGGAACGTGAACTGTGGTGGTGGGGGGTATTTGGTAAGCAGAGATGGAAATGGGGAAAATCTGTAGGAAACTGTGAGAGCATAGACGAGAAAGGGCAAAACCACAAAGGTATGGATTAATAAATAGCCACCCTGCAGGTCATACTGTGCTTCAGTTCACGAAGAAGTTGATATGCTGCTGCCCTTGGGCAGCACCGATGTCCAAATTTCCACAAGCATCCCAGAAGTCAGCTTTTTGAGACATTTTGTTGCCTTTTCTTTTATTAATGCTTTTGGTTAGAATAAAGGCATAGGTTTTAGCATGAGATTTTCATGTGCATATGTCATTCTACTTGGCTCTTTTCACTCCTGTCTCAGAACATCTTCAGTTAGATATATAACATGACTGGGGAGAATGGGAATAAGGAAGGAATCTGCTGAGATGGACCAGAGCAAACTACCCTCTACCCTTTGGCTCATTCTCTTGAAAAGATCCAGAAATTAAAACATCATGTTTCGCTTTCAAGTGTAGAAGTCATCGTGGAGAGAGGCTCTTTCTTCTAAAGGAGCCTGAAATGAAATTTACTTGACATTACAGTTACCTTCTTGTTCAATGAATCACTAAGTTGGCTTTTCTGTTTCCAGGACCAAGTGCTATCTAAACATGAGTTCCCACCAGCAGAAGCAGCCCTGCACTGCACCCCCTCAGCTGCAACAGCATCAGGTGAAACAGCCTTGCCAGCCACCGCCCCAGGAACCTTGTGGCCCCAAAACCAAGGAGCCCTGCAACCCCAATGTTCCTGAGCCCTGCAACCCCAAGGTTCCTGAGCCCTGCCAGCCTAAGGTGCCTGAGCCCTGCCAGCCTAAGGTGCCTGAGCCCTGCCACCCCAAGGCGCCTGAGCCCTGCCACCCGAAGGCACCTGAGCCCTGCCACCCCAAGACACCTGAGCCTTGCCACCCAGTTGTTCCTGAGCCCTGCCCCTCAAATGTCACTCCGGAACCATGCCAGCAGAAGACAAAACAGAAGTAATGCCGTCCACAACCATGCCTTGAAGATCTGATCACTGCATGCCAAGGCCCCTTTCCACTCTGCTTATTCATCCTATTGCCCTGTGCTTCACACGATGTGACCTTAGGTCTTAATCCCTCCCATTTGCACCACCTAAAAAGATGTCTCTCACATTCATTCTCAGGGGTTCCTGAGCCTCTCAACATGGCTCAAAGTCTTGACTAATCTTCCCATGGCTCAGGATTCATCTGAAGGGGGATAGGGAGTGAGACAAGTGAATTTTCAATGTTCTTCTCCAATTAAATATCTTTAACTCCATACCTGGCTGTCTGTGTGTCAATGGGTTATTGAACTGGCATTGCTTTCTCGGTATGAAGCAGGAAATAGCACAACAAAAGCTGGTCGGGAGGTCTATAGCTAAAAGATGCCCTATTTTGTGATTGTGTGCATGTGCGTGCGTGCGTGCATGCATGCCTGTGTGTGTGCGCACATGCACGTGTGTGTGTGTGTGTGTGTGTGTGTGTGTGTGTGTGTGTGTGTAGCTGTTATACATAGAGGACACATTAGTAGGAGAGTATTCAAGGACACCCTGTGTCTACTACTTTGGGGAGCCACAGCTATGGTAGGGTTTCCTTCTTTCCCTGAGTGGGTTACATTCGAGGGTGAGTGGTGCCTTCATCACTGATTCTAAAGTCTTTGTTTAACATGTCAATCCCAGCTCCCTCTCCCTCCCCTCCTCCCCTGCCCTCCCCACCAGGTTCTCCAGTCCCCCACCAAATCTCCACTCTGATCACCAAGGTGGGTGATGCCCTCCATGGTGGATCTCCATTAACTGTCATTTCATCCAGGGCAGGGCCTAGGCCGTCCCCCAAGAGTCCAGGCTGAGAGAGCCTCCCATATTGTAGCATGAGCACTCAAAGTCTATTTGTACACCAGGGGTAAATACTACCCAAGGCCCCATAGATTACCTAGGCCTCCTCACTGACACCCACATTAACGGGGTCTGGGTCACTCCCATGTTTTCCACACAGCCATCAATCTGGAGTCCAAGAGCTCCCCTTTGTTCAGGTAAACTGTTTCTGTAACTTAAACCAGGCCACGCTTAACTCCTTTGCCCATCAATTCTCCCTTTCTGACACTGGATTCTAGTCCAGTTCAGTGTTTTTCTGTGGGTATCTGCCTCTGCTTTCATCAGTAGCTGGATGAAGGTTTTGTTTCCTAGACTCTCTGGGAGTTGGATTGTATGCTGGCACTCCCCTGATTCATGTCTAAAATCCATAAATGAGTGAGTACATACCATGTTTCTTTTTTTGACTGGGTTACCTCACTCAGGATGGTGTCTTCTAGTGCCATCCATTTGCCTGCAAATTTCAAGATTCTATTGTTTTTTTTCTGCTGAATAGTACTTCATTGTGCAAATGTACCACATTTTCTCTATCCACTCTTCAGTTGAGGGCATCTAGGTTGCCTCCAGGTTCTGGTTATTACAAATAATGCTGCTATGAACATAGTGGAACAGACATCCTTACTGTATGAATGGGCATCTTTTGGGTATATGCCTAAGAGTAGAATTGCTGGGTCTTGTGGTAAACTGATTCCCATTTTCCTGAGGAATCTCCATACTGATTTCCAACATGGCTGTAAAAGTTGGCACTCCCACCAGCAGTGTAGGAGTGTTCCCCTCTCTCCACATCCTCTCCAGCATAAACTGTCATTGGTGTTTTTGATTTTAGCCATTCTGACAGGAGTGAGATGGTATCTCAGAGTTGTTTTGATTTGCATTTACCGGGTGGCTAGGGATGTTGAGCACTTTCTCAAGTGTCTCTCAGCCACTTTAGTCTCCTCTATTAAGAATACTCTATTTAGTTCTGTACCCCATTTTTTGATTGGAATCTTTGGTGTTTTGGATACTTGCTTCTTGAGTTCTTTGTAAATTTTGGACATCAGCCCTCTGTCAGATGTGGAGTTAGTGAGACACATTTCCACATGATCAGATCTCCAAAATCATGCAACATACACTCTGACCGCATTACTTCAGTCAGTCCTCCTTGAATTCCACTGTGTGTCTGTTGAGAATGGTGTTTGCCCTGAGAAAAGCCTAAGAAAAATGGTCCTCATGCCCTTCCCATGCAAACATCCTTTGCCCTGCCTCCTCTTTCTCCCTTTTCCATGCCCCCTCTCTCTTTCTTACATTGATACACATTATCACTTTAAATAAAGCTTAAGAGAAAATGCATCAAAAGAAAGAGGGGGAGGAAAGATGTAAACAGATTTCAGAAGGCAGATCAGTGCAGATACGACAAAAACCCAAAGTTGAGTGTGAACAGGTTAGTGTAACATAAAATATTAGAGTGTTAAAGAGTATCTAGTTTATATTTTAGATATCTGGCGTGGGATTATGATTTCCAAAGGTCGCCAAAGGAATCTCATCTTTGAATTGCTGAACCCATTGTCTGGTTCTTATGATTTATTCTACTGCCCCTCTTCCAAATTTTCCTGATGATTATAAGGTCTGGGATCATGAACTAACTACAGAAAGAAAGGGGGATTTTCAGAAGGGCTACAGTGATCCCTGGAATATGTGTAACAGGAGGCAGGTAGTACCTGTGTGGTATACATGTGCTCCAAATTTGGAAAATGCCAGTGATACTTGGGAAGGAAAAGACACAAACTGATTGCCAAGGAGTTCCAAATTGGCAGTTGATAAAATGGCAGAAAGAATGACATCACTTGGATCCATAAGGTGTGCTCACATGTGAGATGATCTCAAATTATGGCTGGTTGCCATGATGGAAAGGGTCATCCATATTTCTAAGAACAATCATCATTAAAGGGGAAGGTTCTTATTTTTTTGTACACAGATGTGAGTATGTCTGTCGCATGTCATGGTAGTTTATATGATCTTGATGTTGTCCTTGAGTTATGACCTTAATATATGACCTGGAGTTAGACACTAGCCAGAACACTGGATTTCAGAGCTACAAGTCAAAGGAACTGAGAGTTGAGCAAAATCAACCAAATTCCTTAAACTTTGGGAGACTGAGGCAGAAGGATTACAAAGGATTATAAATTCATTCAGGCCAGCCTCAAACTAAGTGAAAACATATATTTGGTGGTATGCTTTAGTGGGCTACCATGTGACCGACATAGGTGAAACCCTATATTCAATACCCAGGACACACACACACAAATGTACACTTTGCACATCTGCACTTCACCAGGAACCAGTCATTCTTGTACACATGCCAACACTGCATTCAACATTAAAGGATGAGGCTGATACATCATCCGCAGCAGATAACACTTTGTGGCACTCGTGCCACAAGCAACTCCGAGGTATCAGGAAAAGAAAGACCAGGTGTCCAGATGTTTGTACTATGAAATGTCTTTATTTTGCTAGTGCTAAGAGGTCTCTCTATTTTCCAAGTGTTAAGAGGTTTCTCTCATGTAGGAGGGAACAGTCTTATATTGTAGTCTTATAACACATTAGAAAAACCCCAGATGGAAGAGAGCATGTTTTTCTCCTGCTAGATGTTGATGTCAGTGGGGCAATGTGGGGGCAGTAAGCCAGGACTAGAAAACAGGATGCACCTGTGGCTATCAGCTGACAAACAACTCAGAGACCCTGTGGGGGCTAGGCCCCCAACATCTCCCCCTTTTTATTTTTTGAAATTGTGTTTGAACTGTTTGCTACTCTATAGAATCTTTCATACAGATTTCTTTGGCTCTCAGGCCATGTTATAGGCTTTTGCTATTTTTCTCAGGGGCCACAGCCATACCCACTCCTTGTAAAAATATTTAGAGATGACTCACAAAATTGACCTTAGCAGTAACCAACCCTGTATAAAGGTAAATAAACATTTATAAACAATATTTGGGAATGTGGGCATTATTCTTTCCAAACTACTTCCCGCTGTTAAGGGGCACTGCTCATACCATGGGGATCATGACAAAACTCAAAAACCTGTATAAGTCCTTATTTTTGGGGTCTGTAAGGCTGCATCATCTCAGCTGTTTTAAATGGTGATTCACTTGGGCCACTGCTTCCAGAGGTCTTGCTTCATCAAACCATACTAGTCTGGAAAGAACCCGCAGCTTTTTATTTTCTGTGGAAACAAAAGCAGAAAATTTTCCCAAGTAACCTGTCCCTATATTTAAATTTATAAGTCAAAGTATTTTCAAAATACGTAAGTTGGATTGTTTCAGCAGCATTGATAATCAAATGTCTTTTAGTAGTTTTTGTTTCTTTCTTAGCAATTAAACAGTTTAAAGACAACACAACAGCACACAGTATCCAGACTCTACATGTATTTTCCATTCCATATACTTTTACCTTTTTCTTTTCTTTTATTTAATACCAGTACCTCATTTACTAACTGTTACCAATTCTCAATTCACCTATTTTCAATTCATCCTCCTACCGAGGATAATCTCTCAGGCAAAAGCCTTAAGATTTACTCAATCCACCCTCCAACTGAGGGTGGTCTCTCAGGTTCCCCTTCCTTTCTCGACCTTGCGGGCAAAGGCCTGGAGATTTAACCTGGTAACCCTAACTTGGTACCCCTTTCCAATACACCCTCATAGCCTTACTTGCTGACCAGCCTTTGAGGGCAATCTCTCAGTTCCCCTTTACTTTCCTGACCTCAATGGATCAGGCAAAAGACTGGAGATTAATTTAATACACCTCCTTAGGAGGTGATCTCTCAAGCAAAAGCCTGGAGATTTAACCATTCAATTTTACTGTTAGAAGTTGAGGTACCTATTTTTAATTATTTTCTGTCTCGAGTCTCTCCTCTCGTGAGTCTTCTTTCTGGCCGATCTTTCCCAGTCTTTCTAAGTCTCTCTGGATCTCAGTGGGACCTCCAATTGTGACTCCCATGCCACAAGCAACTCCGAGGTATTAGGAAAAGGAAGACCAGATGTCCAGCTGTTTGTACTAAGAAAATGCATGTGCTGCCTTTATTGTCAGGAGTGTGTGTGTGTGTGTGTGTGTGTGTGTGTGTCTTTATTTTGCAAGTGCTAAGAGGTCTCTCTATTTTGCAAGTGTTAAGAGATCTCTCTCTTATAGGAGGGAGCAGTCTTACATTATAGTCTTACAACACAGTAGAAAATCCCTAGGTGGAAGAGAGCGTGTTTTCCTCCTGCTACATGTTGATGTCAGTGGAGCAATGTGGGGGCAGCAAACCAGGACTAGAAAACAGGATGCACCCGTGGCTATCAGCTGACAAACAACTCAGAGACCCTGTGGGGGTTAGGCTCCAACAACACTTAGTGATTTGTATCTAAATGCGGATCAAACTATGACAAAACAAGAATTA